CGATGATATTTCTTTTCTCGCGTTGGCAACAGTTTTCATTTTTAATTGATAGGCTTCGGCGCGCAAGAGCACGTAGTGAGCATCATATGGCTAATCTATATTATATAAAACGCTAATGCGTTTTAATCGATAGGCTTCGGCGAGCAAGAGCACGTAGTGAGAATCATATGTCTAATCAGGTGAATTCTCATCGAATTATCGAAACATTTCTCACAAAATTATCTTCATCGAAGCCGATGCTTTACATCCGGCGTTCAGTACTATTTCATACTGTTTTACAACACATGGTTTTAGCCCTTTGGTGGGAAAGACTTTAAAACAAAACTTACAACAGTCACTTTTCTCAACAACTGAAATTTAGAATAGTGCGATTAAGAAAAATAGGTGAACTGTTTGCAATTTCAAATTAATATTGAAATGAACAGGTTTAGAATTTTCTACAGTGAAAAGTTTTAGGAACTTCAGTGTTCAAAAAAGTATACAAAAGCTAGACGTTGAGAACGTATCCAATGAGCGAGTAAAGCGAGCATCGGATTGCAAAGCAATCCGAAATGAACTGCGAAAGCAGTTCCGAATGCTGGCGAGCGCAGCGAGCAGCGGGCGAAGCCTCCTAGTTTATTGTATTTTGATATGATAATAGCATGCAAATAATGCTTTTCCAACGAATGCTTTTTTTCTAAAAATTGCATTGTATTGAAAAAAAGCTCACCTCTTCTGATAAGTTTTTTGATTTATCACAAGGTTAATCACCTGAGAGACTAATTGATGTAGTCTATATGTTATAGTCAATGAAATTATTCGGTTAATCTTAATAACCGTCAGCTATTACCATCATTACTCATTCTCATTCATTACTCATTCATTACTTTAAGCTTAACATATAATATTATTGCAGTTACAATGATGTAAAAAGTTTTATTGCGTAAGCTTTTAAGTAATCCTCTCATTATCATAAATTTAAAGAACACTATTTAACCCCTTGCTTACGGTGTATCATGTTTTACCATCACATGTGGTCCATATAATGTACCAGCCGCGAGAAAAAGGTTAATTTCATTTGAATAATTATTCAATTGCATTTAAAATAGGACTGAACGACCCGTATAGAATGGATGTCAAATTCAATTAATTATGACAGTGGAGCTTATTTACCGTTTTGTAATTTTTTTTCTGGGCTGTTTTTCTCTTTCAACAGTTAGTCTGAACCCATCAACAGCTTATTTGAGAAAATTAAATTCGTTCTTTTACTATTATTTCCTTTATATTATTATTTTGATTTGATTCTGTTTAAAAAAATTATGTTCAACAAATATATATTTTTCTCTATTATTGATTATAATTTTCTATTCATTTCGTAGTTGTTTTTCGTTTTGAGGAAAAAATGGCGACAGATTTCATTCCTACATGTTTTTCATCATGGTTCTGTCGTCTTTTTATGTTGGTTGGGAATTTATTTAAAACATCGTGGTAAGGATCACTTTTCATGTATTTAAAATATTATGCATTTGTTTGTGTGTACATTTTTCGATTCCTGGATGCTTCGTGACACACAAATCCACATTTTTAAATAGGACGAACGATTTCTGGAATATGACAAAATCACAAAAAGGTGTCCTTAAAACCGAAAATAATGTGCTGCACCAGTTAAGCGCGTACATACAGCTTGGACACAAATCTTTATTTGCGGTACGCAGGACGTGTATATTCGTTGCGTAAAGTATAAAAATTATCATTCATTATTAAAGTTCGAAATTTCAATTAAAAGGAAGGAGAATATTGTTTGCGGTATGCGTCTTTTATACTACCATTCTAACTTTAAAGGTTGTAAGCTACTCCATCGAGAAAAGAATCCCCTTCTATTAGGCAAGAAAAGTGAAATCCTTAAGGAGACACCTGGTGTACGGCCTGCCGCTTTGTATAACAGAGCGAACAGAGCAAAAACCAGCGACAATATCACAGTAAAAGGAATTGGAATTTTCGAATTATTTTCGTTCTCTGTGTGTTTTTATTGCTTTTGCATATAATTATTATTTGTATTTCATTTTTGTGTTTGCATTTTTCCTATAATGCAAAAAAATTAAATTTCTCGCTCAACTACTTAAAACATTACTAACAATATGGACAAAAATAATTTATTACTACAATATAACGTGTATTACTCTTTCTATTTTAAGAAACTTAAAAGCAATAATTCAATAACTGTTATGTAGAAGTTTGATAACTCCCGAAATTCATTCATCCGATCAAATTATGCTCTCATACATTGCTGCCTTATTTGTCGTAACACTTAAAACACAAAATGGAAAGTCTTAATTGTTTTTGATTTAATATTATACGTTTTATTATTATACGTAATGTTATACGAACATACAATTTAAAGGGTCTTCAATAAGGGATTCAATGATGCGAACGACAGATACGAAATCAGACACTAAAAAGCACTTTCTCTAAATGAACACACTTCAAACTAAGGAAGTGACAGTAATTTTGAAAATTTGGTTCAGTTTAGTAAGGAATGTGGTTGAGGTTTGGATATCGTAATTCTCTATTTAAGTATTTCAGTACTTAGGTCGTGAAAACTTTAAGCAAAACAAAACACTTTCGTACACAATTGCGAAAGTCGTCCATCGAAAGATGTGCAGAAATAAATGGGATGTCAATAACTTATCGTTTTATTATTTAATTTACTATTAGTAAAAAAATTTAATTTACTATTGCTGAAATGCAAATCTTTGGATAATTTAAAGCTACTTATTAAAATGAAAAATTCCAGAACTTGAGGAGAGAATCATTCAATTTGTCACTGAAAAATAAAAATGTGAAAATTTAACTTCACTGAGAAATCGATAAGTAAAATTTACACCTAAACTTACAACCACTGTCTTCCTGATTTAACTAATAGATGTCGTATAATGGAATGAGGCCTTCCTATTTTGAGGAATCCAAACTCGTTCATTCAACAAAAAATGTTTGGTTTAGTGATAGAAAGCACGTGTCTGATTTCGCTTCATAAAATATCATCAGCACTGATTCATTAGAATATTTAAGGTTTTCCACCATTAAAACCAAATATCAGTACGTTAAAATCCAACAACTCAATCAAAAGTCATTTGGGCATTCTATTTTTTATTTTGCGTGCTGAACATTGTAAAAAATATTAAAGGTTAATTACTATGGAATAATTTCAGTCATAAAAAAGAAAACAAAGTTAAATGAAATAACCTTTTTGTCCATTTTGTGTAGGATTGTATTTAGCATTTGGAATGCCACTCAATGCATTTATTCACGTTTGCACTTATTCTTACTACACGCTGGCCGCATTTGGACCTCGTATGCAAAAATTTCTTTGGTGGAAGAAATACTTGACATTCCTTCAAGTTGTAAGTATAGCTGTTAAACAGTTAAGGGGAGATCTCCTATAAAAATTTTTAAGAGTTTTTTTTATGCATAGATCAGAGGGCTCTGGTTTTCCATGAAAATTTAAAATTACTCAATTAAAAGATTCGATATTTTTTGCAATAAAACAGGTTTGGTTTCGCAGAGTTAGTTTCCTTCATCAATTTGATCGTTTACCGTAGTAACTTTATCCATTAATTTGTATTTAATTTTTGGTTGCTATAAAAAAACTGGCTGAATGTTTCCTGTCAAAGAAATGATTCCGAAAAAGCCAGAAGAGCTCATTCATATACTGATGCTTTATAATTTAGTATTTATTGTTTTAATTGGATACCCAGATCGGACAGAGCTTTACATAAAGATTAAATAAAAACGTTTATAAATTGTGAAACAGCTAATTCGTTCAGATATCGATTTAAATATATTTATCGTAAGATATTGCGCAATGAGGAAGTATCGTAGTATTTTAATAAATCATCACGGTTTTTAGTTTAAAGCTTTTCGTTAGGAACATTAATCAAAATCAAAAATGTGATAATAGCAATACAAAGAAAGGATAATAAAAGAATGATAAGTACTAAATATTAAGGAAGGATTTTAAATAACATTAAAGGTAAACATCGTTAAACTAAGAGTAAAGAAATATATTGCTGTTAAACAACACCTTTTAAACCTTTATTAAATTTATTCTCCTGACATCCAACGAAATCTGGATCTTTATGTTAGTCAACAAGATCATACCACGTTATTTATCTGTACAATGAGCAAGGATCGTGAATGCACGCTCTCATTTGCATTTCTCATCAAATTTTTCTGCGCTATATTATTTTGAACAAATGTGATTCTTTTTGTTTCTAGAACGTCCCGCTACAAAGTGGTGTTTAGATATGCATGTAAAAGTTAGTATGAAAATATGAGATGAATTATATTATCGTAATCTGCATTATGGATAGATTATTAATATAGCATGCTTTCTGAAAACACTTTCAAAGTTAAATTACGAAATATTAATTGAAAGTGGGTCATTAAAAACCACTTTTGATTGAAATACGTTTTTATGAACTCTCTTTCGGGTGCGTGACGAAGGAATCTTGCAATTAAAGTTTCGATCACTCAAATCTGTTGTTCCTAATACAGATAAACACTTATTATCACCTATAAAAATTTAGACCACAAAATGATTAGGTGGAACGCTCATGTTTTAACTGGTGCACTCGGCTGGATAAAACTAACTGTGTCAATCGTTTCCTGACCGTTACAAGCATCATTTATCGCCATAATATCGCCAAATTTATTGATCAAGGAAATTTCGACTAGAAGTAATGAAATTAAATCTGGGGTTCTATGTCTGATGACTATACATGTTTCTTAATTGCAACAAACAGAACTTAGTGTCATCGCTCATCGAAATTGCGAGCACTTCGCGACCAGCAAAAGATTTCAAATTTATAAATTCACAATTATGCTTGACTTTAATGCTTGACTTTATGCTTGACTTTATGCTTGACGAGTTTCATTCGTGTTCAGGGTATTTCAAGCAACCTTATCTCTATACTATGAGTTTAATAATTTTCTGACTTCTACATTCAGAACCAATGCCGTCCCATTATCAACGAATAAGAATAATCTTCTATTCAACTTCGATAACTTTTCAAGTAGGTAGAGAACTCAGACTTCAACTGTGCCTGTCTTATTTTAACACGATTGATTTCGACATGATTCGAGCAAAATATATCGGGCAATCTAACGAAATTACTACCATTGCCCTCTTCCCTAACTGTTTTTAAAATCAAGTTTCGGTATTAACCGTCTTTGTGTGCTTAATCTGAGAACGCTTGTTTAAGGCTGTTTTTCGAAGGCTCCGTCGTAATATGAAATGCGAATTATATGCTATTTTTGAAACTGCTGTGAGTTTGTAACTGTTACTCAAGATTGTTTGGTCAAGTTTAGCCTATTTAAAGCTAGCGTTGTCTACGTGCTTATTTTGAAAATTGGCGTAAAACGCCAATATGGAGAATAGTCACAGTTTTCCAAGAGTGAAAAGCGTTTGTGGTCTAATTTTTTAATATTTAAGAACTAACTCCAATTACCTGGGCTCATAAAAATTTGCATAAACTCAGAGTATGCAGAGATATTGATAATTTTCATGTAAGTGGAAAAATGTTGCCCAAAAAAAGTTTAAAAAATAAAGCTTTATAACTCTCCAAAGCCCAGATAATTCTTTACAGTAAGATTACATATGTAGTTTAAAATCCTCGCATTTCTTCAAGTGTAAGGTGCGTTAGCTATGGCTTTTTTATTTCCCTTGCTGACTGGATTTCCAAAAACAGCGTTAAAAGATAGGACAAGTTAGTTATAACTTTTTACCGTCCGCCATCATTTCGCAACTACCACTTAGAGCTTTTGACTGAAAATGGCATCGCAATTGTAATTTGCTGACAGATTAAAATCTTCATCCTAAATTTCCCATTTTGGAAAAAGGTTGATACGTTTTAAATATTCTTTATTGACCAATTATTTAAATTTATTAATTATTTTAAATATGTAATAAATGGCTTCTGTTTTTGATATTTCAGGGTCAGTTCATCGTGGGACTTACTTTCATATTTTCGACTATTGCTCTTGGATGTGAAGAATTGGAACCCATTTTTATTATTGTCATACCATTCGGAATAACTCTTTTACTTTTATTTGTTAACTTTTATAACAAAAACTATGTTAAATCAGACTAAAAACAATTCATTACTTGGGATGTAATATTTCATTCTTTTATTTGAAATTAATTCATATAGGACATATTAATAAGCAATTATAAAATAATACGTAAAACTTATACTTAAAGGTATACATTTCTTTTATGAAAATACAACACTATCAAGCTATTCTATTATCTTCTCAGAAACTCAATTACTTTCAATATCCAGATTTTACGGAGAAAAGTGAAATGAATGGATTTTTAAGAAATGGGCGAGTTCTGTAAAACGGAATCAGTGAAGTCACTCTGAATGGTTAAAACGGATGACTTAAATTAAACGAATTCAATCCATTTCATTCTTAAATAGAAGTTTTTCCCAATTAATTTAAAAATTCTATTTCCCTAACTTACCCACATTCACTTTTAAATAATAAATTTTAAACTGAAGGAATATTAATGGTAGTTTTTTACTAATTAAACTGACGACAATCATAATTATTTGTCACCTTAAATTCATTATTGAAACTGAAGTTGAATACCAGTTGTAGGAAACTTCATATATTTCTCTCTTGCTATCATTATGCCAGCAATGGTTATAGTGACATAAATTATGATTATTATTATGATCACAAAAATAAAATTTTTTACGAGTAATATTATCATAAATTATGATTAGTTAAAATCAGGAATGCTTACTTTTATGATTGTAAATTATGATTAGTTAAAATCAGGAATGTTTACTTTTATGATTGTTTACTTTCGTGAATGTTTACTTTTTGGACTATTACACGAATCATCAACGATACTTAAAATGAATGCTGATGGTATCATATTTCTGCTTTAATGTTTCAGTTAGAAGTTATTTGTATGAAATGTTTTTGAGTATTTTGTAACAAAATTTTATTGCCGTAAAAGAGAGTTGAATGACTCCTTCTTGAAATAGAATGAGTAAAAATAGTTGTTAAATAAAACCTCTTAATTTATATGTTCTGTAATATTATTTTCTTAATCTGTATATTTTATGTATTTTGAATGGAGTGATAATTTACTGCAATCAATCATTCACAGATAAGTTTGAGATGCCTTTAGACCTAACTCAATTGTCAAAGAGGTAGGAAAAAAAATTCTAAATATGGTTGCTTTCTTTAGTTAATTTTCGCAAACAAACTGATTTTGGATATTTTGTCCACTCTTACCATGTAAAATGCAAAAACGTCACCCAAATATATTTTGAGATACAAAGTTTACAGTATTTAAGATTCTTAATTCATTTCTGACAAAATTATAGTAAATCAAACAATCCTGCAATCAGCAGTGTTTGAAAGGTAGCAAATCAATTGTCTGGAGTTTCTTCTTATTTTTTTTATTTTATCGAATTCTTTTTTTTGAGCAATTCTCATTAAAAGAGTTATTTTAGCATTACTTTTATCAGTTTAAACTGTAATAAAATTAAATTTAAAAAAATCTAATGATGCACAAATCTGCAATTTTAGATGAATGAATCAAGGCATCAATCGAACAACTTTATTGCTAAAAAGAATTGAGATCCATCGGAGTTCTAAGAATTGATCAAGTGCCATCTCTTAATCTAATTAATCCTTCATTTGATGCCTATTTTAAAACGTATTGTACGGTAAGACGTTCTCACATTTGCGGGGAAAAAAGACGACATGATAAAAATCAGAAGATTAAAATAAAAGATTTATTTTCCGGAAAAAGATACAGTCACAAAACTAAGTGACTAACTTAAAATAAATTAAAATACTAAAGTGTATAACACACTGAGTAGTAGTAGTCTTTCTTTCCTTATTTACGAAAAACTGGGCACCTGGTCCACGCAGCGGCCCCTATCCCATACATCATGAAAATATATATACAGTTGGATTAAAGACATTTTGTTTAGCAACATTGTGGTAGCTAATTCTAGAGGTCAAGCTCTTTGCTTGATAAATTAAAAACATTTTATAGTTTTAAAAATTACAATCAATTTGAATTTAGTCATTATATACAAGCATGATTGGAGCAATATACATTAGTCATTATATACAAACATGATTAGAGAAATACATTAGTCATTATAAACAACCATAATTGGAGAAATATACATTCGTCATTATAAACAAACTTGATTAGAGAAATATACATTAATTGTCATAGATATATGAATAGTGAAATTGATATTGAGCATTTAATAAAATCGAACATGTTGATAAAAATATAAACATAAGTCGTAATGTATAATCAGGAATATATTTCAGAAATTTTGCCAAACCTTAGTGACGCCATCTAGTGTAAACAACTTTAATTTTATTGAACTGAATTATTTTCTATATTTGTTATATTAAGCAGCGTAGTAATGGTAATACGAATTAGAGTTCTGATTTATAACGAAAAGTCCAAATTTAGGCAATAAAATGTTACTGTACAAGAGTGGTCTCACCCATGATCTTCTGCAATAGTCGGAGCACTTCTTCATTTTTTAAGAGTTCTTGTAGTTCTTTTACTATTGTTACCAATCTGTGAGCTAGTCCAGTTGTTGTGGATGGAATGGCACGAGGATCTCTCCTGCAGGGACGGGATTTGTACCCCGTGTAGTTAGCAGTGTGGGTTTCTCCACAGTAGCAACACTTAGGCTGTGAGTGGATATCCTTGTGGCACTCGTATGATCGATGCTTGGAGGCGCATTTCATACGTGTAGAAGGTGCCTCGTCCACTCTTCTCTTAAACTGTATTACGTTTTGTGTTTCGATGTCTAATTTCCCCAATACATGGGAGATATAACCTGTATAGAAACCAACTGGAAGTTCACGGATTAGAGCTTTTATATACTTGATTGGTAGCACTTTTACTGGAGTTGTGGGTGGGACTGCAGCTTCATTGGAATCCTCCTTGGATGGAGATATGTCGAAATCTGCTTTGGTTTCAGATAGTTGTCAGAAAGTGGCGGTATCTAGTGGTGATGAAGAGCAGCTATTAGTAGTCGTAATTAAATAATTATCATCAGTTTTTTTTACATTAATTTGTTTTCTCCTCCTCCTTTTCCTTTTTTTGCAGGAGGTTCTGTGATATTTTTGGTAATGCTTTCTGGGTCATAGGTCGACACTTCCAGCGTCTGTTCCTATCGTTGGCCTTTATCGTTAATTTCCATGGCTGTGTCATCAGCTGATGTAGTCGGCATTTCAGGCTTATTTGACTCTGGCGTGGGAAGCACTGATTACTTAATTATGTCCTCAGGAAACAGGTCTTTCTTTTTCTGCTTCAGGGCGGCAAGCACAAGCTCCGCGATGAGTGGTGGTTCCTCCCCAATCTCCATGGCAATTTTCAGACTCTTTTGAGTGTTGGAAATATATTGCTCTAGTTGCTCCTTCCTGTTGTTGTAGCTTTTTAAACATGTTGGTGGCGAAATCCATGCGTCGTCAGCTCACTAAAGTATCACCGCACGGGCCTTTCGGTCAACCACTTTCAGCCACATCCTTGATGATGATACGTAGCCATTGTAGCTCAAAGTGTGATTGAACTGTCAACTGAAACGGTAGGGAAACAGGAATTGAAAACTCAATTGCAGGCAGAAACGTTTACTTAATTTGCAGCATCTCAAATCGAAATTAGTGAATATCAGACATAATTGCAAATCAATTTTTCTCGACACAACAATGAATCATGTGAATTCGTGGTCCAAACTTTCACCTTCTTAAAATCCTAGAGCCATCCCCACTCGGCCAATCGATTAGTATTAGTGGTAAATACTTTGTGGTTTTACAGAGTTTATATATGCTGGGAAAAGTGGGCGATAACAAAAATGACATCTGTATCTTGCAGACGGTTACAGCTAATTTCCGAGAGCAAAAAAAAAATCAGGATGTGCTCGATGACAGATTTCAGGTTCGGTATTCCCTTCAATCTAGCGAACTCTACAGTACTCCCCTTCCAGTCTGTAAGACGTTTAGGCTCGGAATGGCAGTACAATTCTAACTTTCCTTCCTGACCTAGTAGCTACTTCTGTCTTTACCATGAGAGACTGATTGGTAGAGCCTGCAATTTCATCAGATAGAAAATAGGTTGGTTTTAATCTGCCGGTAGAAACACTAGATTTCTCTCCTTTAAGATCTAAAACAAAAAGTTTGCTAATTCGTGAAATTACTTTAAATGGGCCTTTATAGGGCTGTTCCAAAGGACGTCGGTCACTGTCTATTCTGACAAAAACGTGGATACAAGTGTGCAGATCTTTACTGATGAAGATTGGTCGAGTGACACCACGATTTCGAACTGTTGACACTGTTGTAGAATTTAACCAATTGTAGAATGAGTGACACTGTTGGTAAAACTACCATCCAGAGCTCAGTCAGGTGGCATTTAATTGCATTTTTCAAGCTTCTATGAAACCTTCCGATAGTTCCATTACACTCTGTATTGTAAGCTACTGTCCTGCTTTTCTGTGTTTCCTATAAACTTAGTCAACGAAGAAAAAAGTTTGGATTCGAACTGACGACCTTGATCAGTTGTGACATTCTCTGGAACGCTATCCAACCACTGAACGCTATCCATTCTCTGGAATTTAGCTATACAACCAGTAAAGAACGTTTCTGCAACTGTGTCAGCTGTCTGATTCTGCATTGGCAATGCCTCAGGTCACCTAGAAAAACGGTCAAAACATGTAAGTATGTACCTGTAATCTCTTGACGGTGGTAGAGGACCCACGATGTCTATATGAACATGCAAAAATCTGGCACTAGGAAGTCCATATTCTCCTAGAGGAAATTTCGTGTGACGTCCAACTTTAGATTTTTGGCATGAGAGGCAAGTCTTGCGCCAAAGCTTCATGTTTTTGGCCATGGATTTCCATACGAATCTCTTCCTGGTGAGGTCTAAAGTTACTCTTCCTTCGGGATGAGATAAGACATGAAAAGTCTGAAAAATACTCCAACGAAAGTCTTTAGGAATGTATGGTCTTATATCACCAGTCTTATATCAATGTGTAGCTTGAAAGTCAAATTTCTTTCCACGATTCAAAACAAGATGAGAAAGAATTCATATGCTCAAGGTAGTATTATACAACAATGTATATCTTTGCAATAAAGTTGTAAAAGATGAATATTTTCCATCAATTCTACGACAACTCATGTTGTATTTACTTTTTATTTCAAGTAGATTTTTTTTTCAAAATAAAGCATTGAAAAATTTGTCAAACTGCCTTTAAATCTAATTTTTTAAAAACTTATAACAGGAAGAAAAAAAAATTGAGAAGTGGATAAAAATAAAGCAAATTGCATATAAGTAATTTCCTTATACATTTCGCAATTATTGAGTAAATGTAAATAATACTTAAATCTCGAAAACCTTGTCGTACACAAATTATTTGAAGACAGGGAAATATGTAAGAAAAATTTACTTTTATATTAAGAAATTAAGATATAAATTTTAAAAAAATACACAGAGACATCAAAGTGAAGAATCAATTTTATTAATTTTTTTCCAATGCCCGACTGGAGAATGACCTTTCGTCAATACGTGTATTTGAAGGACAGATTTGTTGGTCACTCTTTCAGGGACACCATATTAGGTGAACCAACGTTGCTTTAGGACAGATAGTGCAGTAAGAATCAATTATAACACAGGGGAAGAAATTTTTTGTTGCATCTATGCAAATACTTGATCTTTCCTGATTCGCATGCGAGGATTTCAAATCTGAAATTAGAATTGCTTCTAAAACTACAAATTTGTTTTTGAAAATGGCATTTTTTAGTCGAAATGTACAAGTTAAAATTTTTTTATTTATAGCAGGGATTTTACCCGACCTCATAGCGCAGCGTGTTTCCCTTCCTTGCCTCCTTTGCCATCCGGCGCGACTTGTGGTGCTCCTTTTCGAGCGTGACTCGGGGCCTTGTGCCTGAGAATCCACCTTCTGCTTGACCTCAAATACTTTGCGGGTTCTTTCGTAACGGCGAGACATCAAATTCCTCGGCGTATGGGCATATTTGCCTGGGT